CTACCTCCTCCTCCTCCTCCTCCTCACACTGCTTCCATGCCCGTGCTCCCACACTCTCTATGGGCCACTTCACCCTCCTCCTCCTCCTCCTCATCTCATGCCACTGCCATATCCACTCGCCGCATCAGAAGCGAGGCACACTTCCGGCTCTCCTACAACCCCACCTGCCTGCCTGCCTGCCCCCACTCACACCTACACAATTACCATTCCCTTTACTGCACCAACAATCGCCTTCGTAGCAACACATATATCCTTCATTTACCGACTTCCTGAATGATCCTCCGTACGTGCAGACACTAGACCATGCACACTCAACATAATATTTCTCACCACCACCACAACAACAACAACGATATGGTGTGCCATAAACACAGTTTGGGAAGGCGAATCATTCTGCTGTAGGTGTACAACAGCTACCAACTTTACTGCATACATTTTGTGCAATCCCCTCAATCACTGAGGAGCATCACTGGCATCCCTCCTTCCGGAGTGCTCTTGCACCTCCCATTGTCATGATTTGACCATGGGTGGAAGGCTTCGTTGTGGTCAGAGTGGAGTGGAAAACAAGTTGTGTCGTGTGAAGCCAGTTCTATCTGCTTTCCAAAACCACTGTCGTGTGCACGAGGTGAATGCCTTTCAGTAATCGTAAATGCCCGCGCGGACGCTGGCGCGGCGACAAGTTGGCAACTCCACCTGCAGTAGAGTACTGCAAACAAGTAGGGTGCTGAGTAAACAGCTCCTTATCTCGCAGCCTCATGCTGCTATTGCAGCGTCAGGAAGCTGATCAATTAGGGGTTGCACCACGGTTCACAATAGAAACGAGATTCGCGGAACACAGCGGACTGTGTTGCCGTTTTCGCCATTTTGAGTTTTTGGGAAAGAGGATAAGCAGGGCGTCGTCACGCCTGTGCCGACTTAACGAACGCTTGCATTTGTGCTCTTCACGGAGTGCAGACTGACAACCTCGTTCCACTCCTGTGCTTACTTTCAACCCCATGTTGCCCCACTGCAC